CAAGCACCGAGGCTGTGCCTGCCGCGGCCTCATCTCCGGTTCAGTTCCAAGCCCACAGAGTGTGAAAGGAGACCTTTCTTTGGCTCTGTCATCAGTCAAACGTGTGGGAGACTTACACGCGCTAGCCATTAGTGACTCGAGTTTGGCTCGATATGTGTATGTTCCTTTCAACTAATTAGCTCTCCTGGTTGAGCTGCACTAATATGGGCTGATATGTAATATGGACCGGCAGCGCCACTCTGCATTTCCCATGGTGCGCAATAAACAATAAAATGTAACAAAATGCTAAATAATGTCTTTTTATCATTTATGAACCAGGACAAAAATGTGCTGCCCAGAAGCCCACATCCAGCAGATCTGGACGACAGCAGGGCGAGCTTTGTGCCTCCTCTTAAGAAGCATGCCCTTGAGGACCTCCTTGGCTCTTCTTTCAGCAGCAATCAAGTCACAGGTGGAATTCAGGCAGAAATTGACTCTTACTGCAAAGAAGCATTAGTTTCTCTCTTAAGTGGTGGAGAGACAATGCAGGGTGGTATTCTATTCTGTCTTCATTAGCAAAGACCTACCTGTGTATACCCGCTACCTCGGTGCCCAGTGAAAGGGTATTTTCAACAGCAGGGGATATTATAAATGCTTCTCCCTTGCAATGTAGATATGTTGATCTTTCTAAAGAAAAAACTTGAACATTAGCTAAAGGATAGTTCAGTGTTTTTCATACAGCCCATTCTCACTCCCAAGGCGTCACCTAACTGACGCCTTGGGAAGCATTTGGACATGCTTCAATATCTGACGCTTTAGGCGCCCTTTAGCGTCAGTTAGATGACGCCCTAGGATCGCGTGTACCCTACCCCCACCCCACACCTAAACCTAACCGCGTCCTCTAACTGACGCTTTCCTTTAGCGTCAGTTAGATGACGCCCTAGGATCGCGTGTACCCTACCCCCACCCCACACCTAAACCTAACCGCGTCCTCTAACTGACGCTTTCCTTTAGCGTCAGTTAGATGACGCCGTAGGATCGCGTCATGTAAGTGACGCTAAAGGGCGCCTAAAACGTCAAATATTGAAGCATGGTCAAAGGTGACACCTTGGGGTGAGAATGTGTTGTTTCATAAGGCTTTTTGTCAGACTGTTTAAGGATTTTTTTTATGTTTTTTTTCTTCTTCATCTTGTTTTATTTATTTAATTAACCTTTATTTATCCAAGGTAAACTGTTTGAGAAACACTTCTCATTTACAAAAATGACATGGCCAAGAGGCTACAGGAATAAATAAGAACAGACTGTACAGTTGTACATACTCAAACACATAACACATAGAACAAGCAACTGAATTAAAAAGGATAGACAACAACGGGGGGAAAGAAACGGAATAGAGTGCTTAAATATGTGTGTATAAATATGGTTCATGATTGTCAGCAGGAACAAGAGTCAACTATGTAATTTTCGAGGTTTTGCTTAAAGGTGGAGATTGGGAAGTTTCAGGGTATTTTGTAGTGGGGGGGGGGGTTGGGGGGTACTACATTTGATCAAATTACTTGATCTTGTGTGATAGGTGTTCTGAGCAGCATGAAGTAGGGATGTCTTGTATATGAAGAGAAACCAATGATGGAGCCGCCGGGTATGGAAGGGCCAACCCACGAGTTCATACAGGTCACAGTGATGAGTGTGAAAGGGTGCATTAATGGCAAAATGGATGGCTGAATGCTAGATTGTGTCAAGTTTTTTTAGAGCTGTGTTTGGTGACATTCTGTAGATATGTCACCTTCTCCCTTGCAATGTAGATATTTTGATCTTTCTGATGAAAAACGTGAACATAAGCTAAATGGTAGGCCAGTGTTTTTAAAAGCTTTTTTATTTAAGTTTGTTATGTTCCTAATTACCAGTTTTAAGAGGCTGCTTTTATTTGCCTTGCACATTTAAACCTAGCCACTTAAAGGGAATTCCCTATTGTTTACAATTGTTCTAATAGCTTCTTAACTTGAACATTGCACAGAAGAATCAGTTATGCAACCAAATATTACTATTGATGTTTCTGACTACAACTTGCACTTGACATGTGATCAGTCTTTTATGTTGTCATGATCCATAAATACAACAATAAATTGCCTGCTGACTTGCAAAAGCAGAATAAATGTCAGTATTTTTTCGCTATTATCATCACAAACACTATCGTGAGCTATTTAACAATACCGTGAGCTTTTCTACAATATCGCAATAAATATTGTACCGTGAGGTCAGTATCGAAATTGTATCATACCGTGAGATTTTGATATTGTTACATCCTTATTATTAATGTACCCAGAGACGTACCCTTTCAAGGCAGTCACTTATATGTGACGTATATGGGAACTGTATAAAATCCCGCCTTGGAAGCAGTGAAGCTCTCCCACTCGAGACTGACAGAACCCACACCCAATAGCCGCGCTGCTAGGAATACAAGCATCTGATAGGCTGAAGCGGGCCAATAGCACAATGTCTTAACCATGTCAAAATTTGCATATCCCAAAGGAATGAACTACAGGAAGGCTGCAATGAATGCTCAGGGTAACACAACTCAAGCAATGTAAACACAGTATCGACAGGACAGCGGAGACAACTGCATAAACATAATACAGTGGCATCAGCACAGAGGAACAGGCTCAGGAAGAACTATAACAGAGTTAGCTATAAAAAGGTAACTACTGTAAAAATTTAACTCACAGAAAGCACTCAACACTCGTCGCTCAACAGAACATGAGGGACTCGATGCATGGGAACACGACGCTTGGGGGCGGGACGGGGCGGGTCCTCCCTGGCGCTCTTTCTTCCTCTTGCTCGGAAGGAAGGAAGACGGATTGGATGCAGAGGGGGGCACGCTGACCTTCCCTCCGCATCCTTGACATCAGAGAGAGTCAGCCACAGGTGCCTGTGAAGGACCACCAGGAATCCCATGGAGCAACCAACGGCCTTTGCAGAGGAATGAAGATCCTGGATGACGTCAGTGTCCACAGAGGCGACGCCATCCAGCGACTTAAGTACCTTCGCCTGGAAAAAAAATTCAAAATGTATTTACAATCGACACTATTTTTCTTAAAGAGTTAGTTCACCCAAAAATTACACCACATAGTGAAACTATGCAAAGCTTCTAGGTTGTATATCACACGCATCACACACATGACCAGCGTCAGCCAATAGAGAGCTTACGTGTGCCGTGCAACCTTTGCGTAGTTTCACTATGTGAAATGTCGAGGCCCACAGAGAAGGAAATGAATAGTTGAATAAAGTCATTAGTTTTGTTTTTTTTAGCGCACAAAATGTATTCTTGTCGCTTGATAAACTTAAGATTGAGCCAATGTAGTCACTCTGACTATTTTATCGATGACTTTCATAACTTTTGGGCAGCCAGTTTAGATCCAGGAGTTTTCCAGCTCTCAGATTTAATCAAAAATATCTTAATTTGTGTTCCGAAGATGAATGAAAGACTTATGGGGTTGGAACAACATGAGGGTGTGTAATTACTGACTGAATTTTCTTTTTTGGGTGAACTAACCCTTTAATGAAAAATATGATTTAGCCTTTTTTACCTGGAAACCTTCCTGTGCTACACCCACCTACCTGTTGAGCGTCAAGGGGCAAAAACTAGTTTGAATCTGGATTTGTATTCAGGCATAGTGAACACATCATTACTCTTTTTTTAACCATGACCTTGCTGTATGGACCTCTAGTTAGTTATTCAGTTTAAATATTCAAAATATTGCTGAGGCTGGTTTGTCCTTGATGGATTTATCCAGTGGAGAGGTACTAAAAGTATAATAACAATGCAAAAATTAATTCACCTCTCAAACCAAATCTCCATTCTTTCTGACTGAATCACTGTATATTATTTCAACGGTCAGGTTCATTTATTCACTTAAATTTAACATGTATCTCTCCTGTCAACTATTTGGTGCTCTTAGATTAACTGATAAATTAAGCTTATGTTTTCTTTCTGTTTTTTTCTTCTGATAAGGCACCAATCAGAGTCAGTATTGATAAATGATCATCTGCTGGAGTGTGAACTGTGCACCATGTGAAACATTCTGGTCTATAACTTGTCATAAAGTCATTGAAGCAGGTGATGAGGTGTGGAAAAAAAAATCAATCAATATCCTGTGGGAATATGACTCATCACATGGACCCATACGAACACACACAGGAATATTTGCTCAATTTATTCATTTCAAATAGGCTCCTGTATTCTTCATGTTGCATAACATGTCGGTTTCACAAGTAAAAGCTTTTGTCAGTAAAATAAATACCATACAATTACCTGGATACTGCGTGGTATGAGAGAACATATATTTTTTTCTCTTTTGAGTGGAGAAAGTGACTGCACAGTTCTGCAAGGACATTTAAACACATTAACCTGATAAATAAGGGATCAAATGGCAAAATAATTAAAAAAAAACATGAATCTTTCCCAAACTTTTTTGTGTATGTTTCCAGTGCACTGCTTTGTAATTGATTTTCTGTGTAAAAATGTGCCAGATGGATGAATTTGACAGTTTTTTGCACATGATCATTGTTTTAGTGTTAAATTCGTCATGAAACAGATGTTGTGTGATAGTCTTTTCTTCCCTATTGTCTCATATATCCGATTGCCTCTCGAACAAGAAAAAATGACTTGATTTTGTCCATCGGGAAGTGATTGGATTTTTGCTGAGTGACAGGTTGACTTATCCTCACACCGAAAAACACATCATCAGAGAAGAGAAGAGACAAGAACTGCAACCTTTGGAAACACATCTCGTTCCTTTATGTCCATTTACTTCCTTTCCTAAAAGCTTCAGGACTCTCTAGGTGCTTGATGCTTTACAGGTTTCATTAGCCATTATTGTCATTAATAACACATACAATGACATATACATTTATTAAAGGGTTAACATAACATATAAACATTAAAACGTGACAGTTGTCTTGAAAGATAGCTTTGAAAAATAAATTAATGGTTTGATCATTTGCATCAAAGAAAGCACATACCTGCCTGTTGCCATGCACTTTAAATGTGTGTGTCTGTACCCACATCTTTCATTTAAAGTCTTAAGCAATCACACAAAGAGCAGGCGGAGGCTGCATCTGCTGACGTACAGCCTGTGGCTGTGAGAGAGTCGGTTAGCTCCGAGCCGCTGAATCACAGAGCATCTCTACAGAAGCATCTCCACAGGAGCATCTCCAACAGACTAGCAGAAACTACATCTGCAGCTCTCGGCTTCCTTTATTGTTTTTCTTCCCGTCATCTGAACCAGTTTTGTTCTTTAATAGCCTATTCTTTTACTGCTTACATTTTTTCCATCTCTCATCTGTTGTCTGTTTTTCCCAGTCTCTTTATCTTCACAAATCCTGATGAACGACTCAAACCTGCAGTTTCTTAAAGGGCAGAAACCTGCAAACAGCACGTCTCTGCCTCCTAATGGCAGTACTGTATACCCTCCAGCAGGGGCGCTGTGCGAGCAGGTCCAGATCCAAGCGGTGGTTTTTCTCACCTTGGGTATTGTGAGTCTCCTGGAGAACATCCTCGTCATCTCGGCTGTGGTCAAAAACAAAAACCTTCACTCTCCGATGTACTTTTTCCTGTGCAGCCTGGCTGCTGCGGACATGTTGGTAAGTGTATCAAACTCTCTGGAGACCGTTTTCATTGCTGTACTAAACAGTCGCCTGTTGGTGGCCAGTGACTATTTTGTGCGTTTGATGGACAATGTGTTTGACTCGATGATCTGCATTTCTCTTGTGGCATCCATCTGCAACCTTCTGGCCATTGCCGTCGACCGCTACGTCACGATTTTCTACGCCTTACGCTACCACAGCATAGTGACCGTACGCAAAGCGCTAGTGGCCATCACCGCGATATGGCTGGTGTGTGTGGTTTGTGGGATTGTCTTTATAGTGTACTCGGAGAGCAAGACCGTGATCGTGTGTCTAATCACAATGTTCTTTGCCATGCTGGTCCTCATGGCGACTCTCTACGTACACATGTTTCTTCTCGCCAGACTTCACGTCCAGAGGATCGCAGCATTACCCCCAGCAGCAGCTGCCGCTGGCAACCCGGCCCCACGTCAACACAGCTGCATGAAGGGAGCCGTGACCATCTCCATCCTCCTCGGAGTGTTTGTGTGTTGCTGGGCGCCCTTCTTCCTCCACCTCATTCTGCTGGTGTCCTGTCCGCACCATCCGCTCTGCCTCTGCTACATGTCTCACTTCACCACGTACCTGGTCCTCATCATGTGCAACTCTGTGATTGACCCCCTCATCTACGCCTGCCGCAGCCTGGAAATGAGGAAGACTTTTAAGGAGATACTCTGCTGTTTCGGCTGCCAGTCTCCCGTTTAGACCTCGGTAAAGAATGTCTGATTTGAAACAAAGAATGGATGTGTCAAGAAATCATTTACCTTAAGATGTAAGATGCCAAAAGCTTGGTGGTCAGAACAATTTTGCACATCCTGAGAAGAGGGTTTTAAAGCTTTAAACCTGGAAGGTTCAGGTCCTGTAAGAAAACCATAGAGCTTCAGGGTAGATTGAATGTCTTGCTGAAAAGGGCAGATAAATTATTTGTTACACTCTTAAAAGAAAAAATCTATGGAAACTTAAAGGGTTCTGTTGGGCACTTCATATACAGTATATAAAGAGTTCAGATGCAAAAGCCTCTAAGTGCCATTTGAAATTTTCTTCTAGAATGATCATTTTTATCAAACTTGTATATTTAAGTTCAGTGATTTCACTTAAATGGCAATGATAATTACCTATTAATTGTTATTTAAGTGAAATTACTGAACTTAAGTTTGATAAAAATCATCATTAAAGAAGAAAATTTCAAATGGCATTTAGAGGCTTTTGCATCTGAACTCTTCATATAATGGTTCCCATCATGGGAAAATTTTATGGATTTCATTTAAATTTGTTATAATTAGTTTTTAACTTTAATGAAATTGTATCAATTAAATGGTTATACATAGTATATACATAATTATAAATAAATACTTGAAACTACATTATGTGACAAATCAAATATATAGCACTGATTCTTGAAACTTTGGCAAAAACATGTCCCACTAAAAAAAGTGCTAATTCTGTTGGAAATTAATAACATTTTAATGAATGAAAAGAATCAAGTTTATAATCAGGGGGTCCTTTGCACATATGCAAGGTTCTTTTATAGGTTTATTTTTCATTTTTATTATTTTAATGATTATATGCTGGCCCATTGCCTACAAAATCAGCTGTCCTCGGATAGGAGATAATCATTTCAACTTGATTAAAAAAACAAAAAGGAATAATTGAATTGAATAATATATTTACCACACAAAAGAGTACATTGTAATATGTATTAAAAACTACAAACATTGAGTTTTGAACAATATTTACTATTTTTTTGTGGTTGTTCAAAATGTGTCCCACATATTCGTCACCACCGTCAGATATTTATAAAAAGCAATAAAATCAGGCAACTACAAGGTCAACTACATTCCTCCATACCCCATTTTCAAACCTTCAGCTTTACAGCATGCTTCAAGATCACTCAAGCTCCCGTAATTTTGCTATTTTCTCTTAAACTTGTTCATATATTTGGCCACTGCTACTGTCACAACCATAACATGTCAACACCGTCTCTTTTGTATAGAACATATTAGATTAGATTATGACATAATTGTATACTTTTTAAGAAGAGGTCTGAAGTAGCTAGCAACAGAGGGGAAACAAGATGGCTATAATGTGAACAACTCATGCATATCATGTGAAAGAGTAGGTTTTGTCACCACCGTCAGACGTCACCACCGTCAGGTTTTCTATCTGACGGTGGTGACATACCGTGTGACGGTGGTGACAAAACCCCCCAAATGGTCTATAACAGAGGCTAGAATATAATTGTTGATCACAATAAATACCAATATATTATCCTGTAATGTTCCATTCACCTCTTTAATATTTTTATTTATTTAATTCCTCCTATATTTCTTCCATTCAGGCTTACACTGCATGCTACTATTAGCGCGAGTGAGAGTGAGGATGTTTCCTGATATCCTCACGGCTGTGGTTCAGCTGCAGGAATACAGCAGTTCTAATCTGAACATGTTTGATGCGATTAAATTGTGTTTCATGACGTTCATTTAGATTTTTGCCCACACTAAAAATTTGTTAAAGCCTAGCATGGATAGGAGCAGCAATAACCCCCTTGGGGTAAACAGAACAGAACCAACATAAATGTTTTGCAGATTATTTCAAAATTTAAAGTACAATATAATTCGAGAATTTATTCAGATTCTTGGGGAATCAGAATGTCAAGTCCTGACTGACGAGTGGAGCTGGGGAGGGAGGAGGGTAATGAGCTCCTGAGAAACGTGATAGCTGATGATAATACTGAAGGAGCTTATATATGTGTACAGTGATAGGCGTCATATTCCTATAGGGGGAGGTGGATCAGCTAATAGTCGGCTGATGCGAGCTTGACTAACGTGACCTGCCAGAACTAACCAGAACTAAGGATGCACATAGTGCAGCTACTGCCTACCTACACAGCACATAGTATGCACTATCCATTCCAGGCTATGCATCTCCAATGACTAAAGCCAAATGAAAATGGCATGACATCATTTAAACAAATCTAACATTCGCTGTAATTACCCCCAATTTCATAGTCATTACACTCAACTTTGACTTTATGTATTTTCGAAAGTTATGGCTAGGCAGCAGCTATATAGAGGAGAGAAGGAGAAGAAACAGGGAATACCAAAAAAAGCTGAGAGAGAAAATACACAGTGAGGCAGAGTTAAATGAGGAATACCTCATAAAAGGAAAAAAATGTGTGCTATAAGTAGTGCTCAAGATTGTTATTTTTTGGACCAAAGAGTTAAATGAAGTTGTTAAGCAAGAATTGATTGACTTGAGTGGTATACATTGTGGAATTGTATGTTGTAAAGAGGCCACAGTCACCACCGTCAGATTAATGTCACCACCGTCAGTTCTAAAGTCACCACCGTCAGAGGGAGTTTTATTGGTTTTAAATGAATATACTTGAAATATGATTCTTCAGTGCTGTTGAGTTATTAAAGTAATAGTCTCTTTTAATACAAAAATATGTTTGTTAAATAAAACAACATTAATTTTTCTATTTAGGCTTAAAGTAAATGTTGTATGATGTTATATCTTTAAAAAGGAGTACACGCAAAACAGTATAAAAAATGAACAAAAGTGAATATTCAACATTTAACAGCATATATGTGTACCAAGAATGCCAGATAATGATTTAAAAACTCTAAATACATATTAGACCAAACAAATAAAAAATAATTTGCTATTTATTTTGTCTGACGGTGTTGACAAAAACAAAGTGATAACTGGAGAAACGCCTATTTTATGAAAAAAATACAAAATGAGGAGGTTGCACCGGTGCATTGCTGAACAGCCAAGACCTTGCTTTATAATGATATACCTTTAGATTTTGTAATTTAACTAACTTTTTATTTTCAAAATTAAAACCTGTTTTATCCAAATTCCCAATAATCACTGATAGTAAATTAATAACATCGATCATGATACTGTACATGTTCTTTCATTGAAACCAAGGCACTCTCTTATCAGTACCTATACATATTTTCCTTTTTGGCAAATTTTTGGGGCGAATTTGTTTAATCTTCTTGATCCATTTACTTATTTTTTCCTATAAATCAAATGTTTTTTGTACAAATCAAATACAAGTCAAGAATTTGCCAAAAAAAAAAAAATAGTCATGTGTTCTCATGAGAACGGGTTGTTGAAGCACAAGATGCCCTGTGGATCATCTCAATTTATGCTGGATCACATGATTCATCCAGCTTGAGTGCAAAAGGACAAACCAAATAAAAAGAATTATAGTAAAGATTTAGAATAACCTTTTCATTAGTGATATCACACTTTTAGAACCCACAGTACAGTATGTTTAAAATGTGTAAATGGTATATTTTAGGTCTGATAATGGTGTGTAAATGCTTGTGTTCAAAGTTGCTGAAGTGAAGTCTTACTAACAGTCTTGTGACGAAACTTGCTCTTTGGAAATTAAATAAATCCTAAACATATGACTGGATTTGTATATAGTTATATACAAATTTGAATATATAACTTGTATATAGTTATAGACAACTTATAGTTGTCAGCATCAGACTTGGACTTTCTCCCATCAACATCAATATGCAGTCAAACTCATCAACACAGCCCAACTGCTGCAGTCAGCTCGTGTGGATCATTTAGTCTCAAATGTATCTGTTTTTGCCTTTTAGCAATGGAATGTAACTGGGAACCGAGCCAACTAAACATGTCAGTTCCAAAACCAAATATCCCTCATTTTTGGTGTTTTTGCCTTTTATTCTGAAGGGGAAGACAGAGAGAGAGAGAAACAAGATCAGAAAGGCAGGATTTAAACTCAGGTTGCCAAAAGCACAATGAATGCTGCCCACAAGACTCTGACCAAATATCCCTCTTATTCCACTAAACAGCATTATCGGTTGCTTTTACGGTTACAAAGTGGTTTAAGTTTAATATTCTACATATTCAGCTGACCTTTTTGTATTGAGTCTCACTGCAATGTTATTTGGACTGTGCTTGCCACTCTATTAACACTTTTAGCGCATGAGTTTAGCACTCGACTTGTAACTGTGGCCACAAGCTTCAGCAAATATCTGCAACAAAAAAAAAAAGTCAAATAAAAAGGATAAGCATATCATAGCATGTGTTCTCTGTTCCTTCTTGTGAGAAACATCGAAGTGGTGTGTATGTGTGGTTCTGGAACACAATACCAGAATCTTTTGGTGTTGAGGGTAACATTTTTGGTCCCCTTGAGGAAAATGGCTATTAATTCATTAAGGGTCATTTTTTGAAAATGTAAAAATGCATAAAGTTTTCTGTAACGGGTAGATTTGGGGTTAGTGTAAGGGGATAGAATAGAAAACATTGTCTATAGAATGCCCCCATAAAAGATGAGTGTGTGCGTGCTCACCCGATGGGGACTTGTGGTGGGGACTTAAATTGAGGTCCCCATGAGGAAACAAGCTAATCGTTTTTTATTTATTTATTTTATTTATTTATTTTCACTTTTATGCAGAAAGTTAAATTCCCTAAAGGTGAACCCTCTAAAATCCAGAATCTTCATCTCCCCCTTCACCATCCAGCCCCTTCATCTCCCACCCAGGTAATGGGTCATCAAGACAAACATTTAAAAATCCTTTCAATGCTGCATCATTGTAGCCCTTACCTAGACTAGAGAGAGTCCAAAAAGTCTGAGTCAAACAACAACCCACCGTCTGGCCCTGTTAGCATAGGTAGGTCCATCATATTTTGGACTCGTCCCCTCCTCTCCTTCTCCGTGTTAGGGCGAAGGATACAAAACCCCATAATGCTGGAGTCCTTCTGTCACGATAAGCACACACAAACAGGTAAGATCCAAGTGCATTTATTGGGCAATCTGTGAACATAATTCCAGGCAGGCAAAAGTTTGACATACAACAAGGACTCCGTGACAACTGCTGTGTCCAAAATCACCCATTACTCAGTATATAGTGGACTATCGAGTCGTGCGATCGAGTAGTGTCCGAAAGTGGGATTTCTATAATGCTGGTGAGCTCACTATATAGTGCTCTGCTCTCTACCCCCAACATAGGGGTTAGGGAATAGTGCTTTGAGTGGAGATTTCGGACTCAGAGAATGACTGAACAGACAAGGTATAAATACACAGATACTAACAGGGTGAGTGGAAACAGCTGTGTGTGATGATCAGTGATAAGACCGTTGGGGAAGAGCACCTCTAGTGGTTACCCAGGGATACAAAAACCAGACACAGACAGTCCTTACACAGCTCTCTGGTCTTGGCCATTGTGGTGAGGCTGGAGTCTGTTTGATTGAGTGTGTGGACAGGTGTCCTTTATACAGGTAACAGGTTCAAACTGGTGGAGTTAATACAGGTAATGAGTGAGAGCAGGAGGGCTTCTTAAAGAGAAACTAACAGGGCTGTGAGAGCCGGAATTCTTATTGGTGGATAGGTGATCAAATACATATGTCATGCAATAAAATGCAAATGAATTTTGTTTTAGATTTCATCATTCACAGTTGAAGAGTAGCCTACCTATGATAAAAATTTGGAATTGAAAAACCTGCAAAATCGGCAGTGCATCAAAGACTTATTCTCCCCACTGTATATAACTGTGAACATTTATTTGACAGATACTTTTATTAGTAAATTCAATGACATGGAATCAAATCTATGACCTTGATTGTGCTTATATTTAACAGATGAGCTACAAAGATGATGCACTTGAAAATGATAATAGCCTGCTAATAGAGACACAAGAGACAATCTGTCAGTAATAATACTGGAGGGGAAAACAAGAACATGATACACAGGAATGTTTTAACTTATCAGTGAGGGCTAACAGCTAATCACGTTAATGATCCATGCCTTCACACTTTCTGGACATTAATTATCGGTGCTGGAGGGAAAGGCAGGCTGTATCCACTGATTCAGATGGCGTCCTGGAGTTCAGCATGTGTAATTTGCATCGTTTATGCTCTTACCCCAAAGCAAATTTAAAACTTACAGCACAGAGGTCAATAATGGCCAACATCCAGAATTTATAGTTCTGCATATTCTGTGCACACAACTCCACCTCCATTGCAGGGGTCATTGGGTTTCTACACACACATCAGCAATGTTACTTGAGAGTACATGAGATTTGGCAGTAATCCTGACAGAGATCTAAGAGAAAGAACATCAGTTCTTCTTCCATACTAGGGCTTTTTAAACACTCCACTTAACCTGTTATCGTAATCCCAGGATTATAAGACCCTGCTCCCGAGCAGCAATGTTGTTAAATGTTGTCCACCCAAAAATGATTATTCCCTAATTTACTCACCCTGAAGCCATCCTAGCTGTATATGACTTCCTTCTTTCAGCCAAACACAGAGTTATATATCCTATATATATATATATATATATTATTTTCGGAGTAACTGAAATTTGGAAGGCCAAAAAAGCATATCCATCCATCCATCTAAGTAATCCATACAGCTCCAGTTGGTTAATAAAGGCCTTCTGAAGTGAAGTGCTGCATTTTTGTAAGAAAAATATCCATAATTACTACTTTATAAATTGTAATAACTAGCTCCTGGATAAAGGCTTTCAATGCTTTCACAAGAGAGTCGAGTTCCGGTGTATGACGTAGCGTAAACTGATGCCGAGTTCACACAGCACGATTTTCAAGAAGTCGGGTCACTGTTCTTCTCACGCTGCATGACTTTATAGGGTAGCATTTAATTGCTGGTGTGTTCACACTGCACGATGGATCAGCGACAGGGTTTTTCAAACTGCCTGACTTTACAAAAGAAAGAATCGCCGACAATTTATCTGGTCCGCAAACTACGTTTCAGAACCAAACACGCGAGAAGAGTACTACCTGTTATGGAAATAACGCAAGATCACGCAGAGTTCTGGTGCGACACTGAAATTGTTATTAAAAATGATGGCCTGAAAGAGGATTGTGATCCAGATTCTCGGTGTGCTGATTTGCAAGAAAGATAAAACAGATTCTGGAAGAAATTGTTGGGGAGATGTGGGGAGCAAGGATTGTGTGTTCTGCAAAGAGAGTTGGGGGTAAATAAATCATTTTCAATGTGCTGCTGGTCAAGCAAATGTTTGTGCTTTGTTTCTGTTCGATATAATAGGGGATTATCACGCTGATACATAGTACTTCCGGATTCAGTGATCTTTGTGCACTGCCACTTCCGTTGAATTACCGATATCACTGGCGAACTGATGACAGAAGTTTATTTAGCCTATACGTCATCCCTGGTAAATAAATTAGTCTGATTCACTAAAGTGCCGGCTGCAAAAAAAACATGTAAAAACGTAACGTAAACGTAAACACGTAAAAACCCCTATTGTAATCTATTAAAGTAGGCTACTGATATTCGATACCCCATAGACTCCCATTCATTCTGCACTCGCCTGCGAGCGCCCCCACATGGACAGAGACGTGTTACTGCAGCCAGTCCAGAAACAGGAAGTAACCAGACAGTGCCAAAAAAAAAAAAATCTTCAGTAAATGAACACCCACAACAACACTCGTTTAATCTAGGTCATTAACCCTTATACTGATCCATTTAAAGCAGTAATACAGATACAAATTAAATGAGTAAGAAATCAAGAAGCAGTATTGTAAGTTTTCGTAAATTAAAATAGAATGGCTAAAACTAAAATAAAAATAAATCTAAATAAAAATATTCACAAAAAAATGATCTATAATATTTTTCAAATATAATATTAAAACATAAAAATGACTAAAGCATAACACAATTACAAAAATTTAAACTAAAATGAAATTTAAAACAATATATAAAAATAAAAGCTACTTCAAAATATTAATAAATACTATATAGAAATGATTTAAAACTGTACAAGTTATTTCATTATTTACTCACCCTTCTGTTTCATTCCAAATAAATATTTCTTATTTGTATTAATTATGTGATTAAAGACTGATCATGACTTAAATATCAATCAGTGCAATAGAACTGTTCTTTTATACGGGTTTGGAACAATAATATGGTTGAGTAAATCATTTTCATTATGGAAATAAATATAACGAATACAAAGCACAGATCAGTTAGAGCAAAAATACTGTTTCATCATGACTGTATCATTAAATGTATTATTTGCAGGCAAATTCAAATTATTAAGATAATAATTTAATAAAACATAAAATGGTCACTCCACAGGTTTGCAGAATGTAAGGAAATATATATATAGACGATATGGAAACAAACATAGAAGGTGATGATAAACCATGGTTGATCTTAGGTCTGTCTTCTTCTTCTAAGTTGTCTGACCTCAACGAGAACCTGAAAATGGAAACATCTAATTATCTTTCCAGCTTAGACTTAATTTTACACATTAAAAGCAAAAGTATTCCAAAGTTTGTTTGTTTTTTCAATAATTTAGGACATTGATTCAGCACAATACTGTTAGAATCTTAGTGAACTGTCTGTTTGGATACATCTACTGCAGTGCTGAATTACATCATTCTTCTAATAATTAAAATAATGCCAAAAGAGATGAGGTAAATCAGCTATTTAGAAATACTTACCCATATGCACACAGCACTGAGGACAAGTTTACTCACAGCTAGTCCTACACAACCCCAGAAGACAGAGGGCTCTGAATCATCTACATGAGTCACTGGGATGCTGATGTTTGTCCATGACCCATTAATAAACTTAGTGGTGGAGAAATCAACGATAATGGGTGAAGGTGTTGACACACAATCTGGGCAGACAAATAGATCTATTTTATCTCGGCAGAAATTATCTTCAACAAATGAAATAAATAATGCACAAAAATGACTGAAAGAATAACAAAGTAAAAAAAAAAATATTGTTTGTCTACATTTAAACTGAAAAGCCATAATTATTTAGATACTGGAAACTTACCCAAAAAAAGTGTTTTGTGTATTTTTGTGTATATATACAGCATTTCACAACCAAAATGATTTTCACTGTTTATTAATAGTGAAATACCTGAGATATTCAGTCTAAACGACTTTTGACAGTTCTTTCCTCCAGCCTTGACTCTAATCAAACACTTGTAGATCCCAGAATCTGAAGGAGCAACTTTCCTCAAGACCAAAGAGGCGTTTTTATCCAGTGACACAGAATCATTGTGCTTATCCGTTTGGATGACATTTTCTGACTTTTTGAGGATTGTCATCGTAGATTTGTCACTGCTGTTATTGTAGAACTTTTAAAAAGAGAGAAAAAGAACATAGTGAGTCCTCTGCTCTTTATTAGAATAGATTTTATGTGATGAATACTAGTTAGTATGTAAAAAACATATTGTGGTACCACAATACACGTTATTGTCTGAAGAAATTGAACACTGTAAAAATAAAGTAGGCAACAATCAACTTGGATTTTCAAGTCATTTCAACTAAAAAAATAGTTGAATGAATCTTGTATAATTATATTTTCATGATTTGTAATCACAACATTTTTTCTTTTGTCAAATCAACTTAGATAATTTATGCAGTTCAGATAACATAATATTTTGAGTTTTAGTGATTAAATCAATCTCCTTCATTGTATTAACTCACTTTTCCATTTCAATGAACTTAAAATTTTAAGGCAACCAGGTTACAGTACTTATTTTTTAAGTTAAACCAACAATATTTTGTACAGTGTACACTGTAAAAAAATGTTATCACAACATTTTTTTCTTTTGTCAAATCAACTTAAATAATTTATTTAGTTCAGATAACTTATTATTTTGAGTTTCTGATGATTAAATCAATCTCCTTCATTGTATTAACTCACTTTTTCCATTTCAATCGACTTAAAAAATTAAGTAGCCTGGTTGCTTTAATTTTAAGTTAAACCAACAATATTTTTTTCAGTGTAAAAACAAAACGTTACAGTTGTTTCTTATTTCGATAAATTAAAACAATGTAAAACATGTTGTCAACTTATTGATATTGGCCTTTTTTTTACGCTGCACACTAATTATTTTTAGGGGCCATGTAGCCTAGGCCACAATTTTCCCCTTAATCTTTCAGTTGTCTGCAAGCACAGGTAAAATTACAAGTGAAATTAAGAGGAATGGATGCAAAGGAAATGTGTGTCAACATGTTTCCTCCTTAAAGCCACAAAAAGTTCGAAATTTTCCGTTGGTTTTCTATGTAAATGCAAGACAAGAAGATGAGCTTTACAGACACATGACGATTTGATGAAGAACATTTTGTTAGAAAAGCTTGTTTTAATAATTTTTTCTTCACGTTGTTCCGAGGCTCATATCACGTGTGAGCAAAATTAGACAAAAGGTCAACTATAAAACCAATTAGTCCTATAGCGTTTTGTTTCACGCAGTCAGACAAGTAAACATGCGGTCAGACAAGCAGTCAGACAAGTAAACATGTTCATCAAATAAGATAAGTTTAATAAAGTATGCTGTGGTAAATAACATATTATATGGACATGACTCACCTTGTACCACGTAACAGAGGTGTAGTTCTTACAGTTTTGAAGGGCACTACAAGGCAAAATTATATCAACTCTGCAATCTGCTGTGACGAAGGTGGGTTCATCGTTGCCGTGTCCGATTACTATACTAAGGCCCAACGCTAGAACAGACATTAAAGATCAAAAACACTGGGGGGAAAATCAAGAGCACAAAGAGCCTTACGTAGCTAAACTTTGCTTGCTTATTTTTTGTCAAAGCCTATTGTACTTAGCCTAATACACACGTGTTACATGCTGGAGTTGCGTAAAATGCGTATTGCGTAAAATAATTGTTGCCATTTATTTTTAGCTTGCAACAAGTATTAGAATTTTAAGGGCCTTTAAAAATGAAAAAAAAGCTGTGAGTAAAATACCGAGTTGCCAAATAGAAAGCAATATCTCACTCACCCAACACTATCAAGCGAATCATCATGTTATGGTGAAATGCGTGATGCTCGCTGTTCCCCTGATGTTGCCTCCTGCTTCCCACAGTTCTGAAGAATCACTTTTTCTGAGCAACTCTGAAAAAAAATGGTGTGGGTTTCGCAATGCTGTCTTGCCGTTTTGTCAAGATCAGGATCAACTTAACTGCTTTGTTTTATTGCAAAGTATGTAACTCAAATCATTAAAAAACACATGTAAATAGTTTTGACATCAGATTTAAAAAAAGGTAGTATTAAAGCTGAACATTTCCCCCCTTATATAGCATTGGCTACTACCAACAGTAAACAAAGGTGAACAACATTTTGTAGTTGTGTAAACGATTGATTTTCAAGGAATTCAGATTTACAGTTTTATGAAATCAAATGGTTTACTCGTCTTCCTAAAGTAACACTGTCCTTCAGCGACACCAGTCGGTAAAGAAAGTGAAAGTGTAGCATATTTTGCCTGCTATGGGCGTATAGCGACGCTGAGGGAGATGCTATGAAAATGCTGTGATTGGCTTGTTTCCCGCCTGACGAAGTGAAAATTTGAAATTATGAATTTGAAATTTGAAAGTGAATTTGAAATTATGTATCGAGAGTATTCGGCTCAGTAAAATTAGAGCAGTATCATCATTACACTTGCTGTGTTTATTAAGAATGATCACAGAAGGTGACTATTAATAATAATAGCTTAAATCACTTAGTAACAAATAAAAACAAGCACAAATGCTACTTCATTGTTATGTTTACATTGCTTGCTTTAACACATTATGCTACATTTGCAGTATTCCTTTTTATTAATAAACACGGTGTTATTACTGTACAAAAACTAACATATTTAGTTTATTGTTGATATAAGATGCTATGCCATTAAACCAGAAACTGTTTTAATGCAAAAATTAATTTACATGGTTAACATGGTTTTTAAATTGCAAAACACAGTTAGGCCACTTATATGCTTTCATGAGTTTCCACAAGTTTTTTCATCTTATTATTTTTCTTTATCATTTTGAGGTTCAGAAACATGATAACAGCACAAGCCATCAGACTCAGCACACATCCGACTATGATGAATTGATGATTGGCAGACGGTGTGTCCTTCTTACTGCTTACCGCTTGCACTTGAGGCTTTATGCAGTCTAAGCACAAAAACAAACACATATAAAACTTTCAAACCACATATAGGCTACCATTTTAGGGGAACTGTGGAAATGAAACAAATGCATCATGGTAGGCATACTTCTCCTATAATACTTCTCCTAAAACTCAAGAAGATATTTTGAAGAATGTTAGTAGACAGTTGCCGGTAGCCATTGACTTCCAAATGAAAACAAACAAAACAATGTGGTCCCATCAACTGTCTGGTTACCAACATTATTCAAAACATCTTGTGCTTAGCAGAAGAAAGAAACTCATACAGGTTTGGAACAACTTGGAACAACTTAAATTATGACAGAATTTTCCGTTTTGGGTGAACTATCCTTTTAAGATTACTGTCTTTATGTCACCATGAACTCAAAATTTACCATTCCTTAATGGAATATTGCAATATGCTATTTATGATTTATCCATGCACATCACTATATATATATATATATATATGTAGTTTCACTCCCCTTCTCACCTGCTGAATAATACTCTGTATTTCCTTCCTGTATGTAATGACCCAGTGGGGGCCACAAGGTGCATCTGTAAACACCACAGTCTTCTTCAGCAGGACCAGGGACCAGGAGAGAGTTGTCCTCCCCCACCTCATAGGAACGATGTGCAAACTTAAAGAGTGTTGTGATGTTTTTTATCAGATCCTTCAAAACAAGTCCAGCCAACACATCAGAACCCTCTTCAACCTGTAAAATATGTTTACTTTTATAACACACTGCACCAGGAAATCCAAGTATAGCCTACAATCCACTGTATCCAAGGAAATAAACTAAAGCAATTATTATTGACAGGCTGATTTGCAGGTTGCAGCTACTGTTAACAACTTTTAGAAATACTAGAAAAAAGACAGTCAGACACAAACCTTGTACCAGGTGAGTCTCCTGTACTTTACACCTTGTTCAATGTTAGCCTGGCATGATATTTTAACCCAGCGTTGCTCCTCATAAGACATTGAGAAGTAAACCATATAGACTGAAGGACAGAAATTATAACATCATTTAATGTATTTATTAGATGCTGCAATGTTAAAACACACTCAAACGAGATAATTCTGCAGCGCGTTTTTGTTTTTGGAGACGCGAACGCGGATACTTTCACTTTAGTATGGTTCTAACTGTTACGTTTACTTTCTTGCAATCACGCAATACATGAAGGTGTGCATGAAAGAATAAATGCATATTCTACTTACACGTTAAAAAGTAGATGTGCAGCATGGTTGTGTTTCTATAAGCTTTCTCCTTTCTGCAACCGCAAACTGCATTTGGGGCTAGCCTATTTTCCCGGAAATGACGAGTGCGATCTTATCGGTCGATTCGAAAAACACAACAAACACAAAGTTCATTATAGCATCTACTAATTTTATTGTTTGCGCAATTTAATACAGTAATAATACAGTATTTGTAAAGTGTTGCCCGGTAGGCTATATTTTGTGAATGAACACCTCCTTTTGGTATTAATCATGCATTGTAACGATAAACACACAAACAAGAACAACACACACACACACACACACACACACACACACACACACACACACAGACACACATAAATAGGTCTACAAACAGGATGTTAAAAATGGGGATAACTGTAACACATTTTTTTTTAATTAACCACAACTTGGACTGATAGGCTTGGACTAATAGGCTGGGTTTCTTTCTTTCATTTTCATTTCTCTCTGCGCCTCAGTATCAGTATTTTCACTACAAGGCGTGAAACTTAAAACTGGTACTAAGACTTGACAAAGAATTCCTGTGAAAGTAGGCAAATAGATTAGAAATTAATGAAATTTCTTGAATTTAGCTAATGATCCACATCATTCAGATAAATTCATTTAACTGAATTCAAACTATTTTAAGCCAACATGTTAAATATAAAACTGTTCATAACATGATGGCTATATGAATATCTGTACAAATATTTAGCCTATTGCCTACTTATTTATCCATATATATTTTTTATGATTTATTCATATATAAGAATACATAATTAACTCTAGAAATCCCTAAAGTACTTAATTCTGCTACTGACAGCTAAATATTTACAGAGGATGTGCAATTTAAAAATGTAGGGGGAAAATAACAACAGTGTGCATTTTGGCGATCCCTCCTCCCCTTGGAATAATCCGTTCTCTAAAAAATAATTAAGAATAGCCAAACCACGCAAAAATTAAACAAACACCATCAATCCAACCTAATTGTGCCAACAACCTTGTAAACGACAGGCTTGGACTGTTTTAGTGGATGCGTAAAACTAAATGGATCCCATCAGCTTTTTTTGTGAATCTCAGTCTTTCCAGCTTCATGGCCTTGTTCCCGTTTTGCTTCCCCTTACTTCCTGTTTTCTTCTTGCTGTGCTGAATATGGCTCGATCACACACCTGTGAAAGGAAATTTTATATCATACAGGCTTCAGAAACACACAAAACACTGACAAAACTGTGAAAACAAACCTGAAAAACGGCCACACAGCCAACACTTAGCAAACAGCCATTTGGTTTATGTCATTTAACCTATTAAGCTACAACCCCATTTTTGAAAAATCCAAGGAAATGGTAGCCTGGCTAACGCCAGACCACGTATCATTGAGAAACCACATGTTAATTTTCTCGTATTTGAGGCGTAGTTTACGAATGCCCCTTCAGAGCCATATTATTAGGTGCTACGAATGTCTATCAAATGCGCCTGTAAGTCTATCAAATGCGCCTGTGCTCCCTCCCCGACCCGTTCTGTGGTTGGTTCCCTATTTCAGGGGAAAATTTGGTTCATACGAATAAAACCGCGGCAAGGCAGAGGGGAAAACCAGGCTAAACAAATGGCATACCCAAACTGAAACAGATACAGTTCATGAACCTTTGTACTAAAGCAAAAATATGATCTCGTTTGAAAGCTG